AATTGCAAATTGGAAAATGAAAAATCTCTACTTTTTATTTGCTCAAAACACACTTTAGGAATGAGAGAGAATCTCAACAAGTTCTGGAGAGAAGTAGCAATTGAATTATCAGTTAGTCATTTCCATTTTCTTGAAAATCAAAATGCATGGTTATATATGACAGAATTTTTGTGATGTAAGGACCAAAGTTGACTTAGTCAAGTCAAGAATGGCTCTAACTATAGATAGTAAATATTGTTGGTCACTCTTCCAGCAGTTATTGCCCAACTCTTGTGTTTAAGCTGGGGCCTCACATTTTAGAGCAGGCAGCTCTCTTTACATGTGTCCATAACCCAGTTTTAAGGGTACATTTAATGACGTGTTCTTTTTCTTTGTACTGGTCACTCAAGTCTGTGCATTTACTCCCTTTGGGAAGTAGGTAGTGCTAATTAGCACAAGATACCCTTCTGCATCTTTTACGGCTCAGGGTTGAAGACTATGCAGAGACATAACAGCAGTACTCACTTCCAAAATAGTTTGAGACAGCTTATAATAGAAAAATAACTGCATATGGTTAAAGAAAAGTTCACAAGCACAAGATACCCTTCTGCATCTTTTACGGCTCAGGGTTGAAGACTATGCAGAGACATAACAGCAGTACTCACTTCCAAAATAGTTTGAGACAGCTTATAATAGAAAAATAACTGCATATGGTTAAAGAAAAGTTCAAATAATGATGAAGGGGGATTTGAGAACACATACAAAAATAAGAAGTAAATGTTTAAGAAATAGGTAACAGCAGTATTACTGTAATTAAGCACTCACACTTACTTTGAAATTCCTGGGAGTCAAGGTATAAAGGGAAGTAGCATAGATTAGATAACTTTTAATGTTTAAAAGAATTTATGGCTCTTTTTCAGTGTAAATCACCCACCACTACAAGCAGTTTTTTATGCAGAGTGATTGTGGCCAGCGCCAGCAGCGGGTGCGAGCGGGGCCTCTGTCATCAGTGGGAGCGAGTGGCAGCTGCTGTCCCAATCGCCCCTAAGAAGCAGGGGGAGGTGGAGAAGCCCTGAGGGGCAATTGGGGATGGCAGCTGCCACTCACACCGCTGATGGCACCTAGTGATCCGGGCCAGCAGCGATGTGAGCGGTGGCTCCAGCACCAGCAGCAGGTGCAAGTGCCTGGTGGGCCCGCTCACACCCACTGCTGGTGCAAGTGCCTGGTGGGACTGCAGCTCACGGGAGCAAAGACTTTTCAGTAACCACCAGAGGCTCACCCCAATGACAGTGACCAGTGCTCTGCCTTGGTCTGGTGCTTCTGATCCGCTCACCCCCTCTACCATCCCACCACAGCCGATGTCTGCCATGTTCAGTGCGCACCCCCTGGTGGTCAGCGAACATCATAGCCACCGGTTGTTTGGTTGTTTGGTTGTTCTGTCATTCGGTCTATTTGCATATTAGTGTTTTATATATATAGATTGTATGATTTGAAAAATCATAATGGCTTGTTCCAAAATGATTCTTGTGTATTAGATATAGTCCTTTTGATTGAAGTAGTATCCTATTGTAAATACCCTGCAATAAACATTTTATAAATCATTATTCCAATTATCACTGATTTAAAATAGTTTTTTTCTTTGTACTGGTCACTCAAGTCTGTGCCTTAGAGTAAGGCAGCATAATGAATAGAATTTGTATCTGTGACCTATAATATACTTAAATAGTATGGTGATTAATAATTATTTTGCAATTATATTTGCATATCTACAAATTAACAGATAAGAAAGTTATCATAAATATGCTTTTTCGGCACCCTTAAAGTTGATAATAGAATTCTCTATGATGATCCATCAATGAGGCTGTTTGATGAGAATGGATGTAGAGGAGTCCAAGGTAAGAGTCCATTGGTATTTCCAATCTTTTATATTAACACTACTTACAACTTTATTGAGATGGTTTTTGCAAATGCTAATCTGTCTTTTCTAATTATAACTATTCATTGATAACGTATGTGTGTTGTTGATAGTTGCAAATATTTAAATATAACTAAGGTTGGGGGAAAAGTAATTATGGCCCAATTTCCTATAATTGCATAGAATTTAAAACCCTAAAGAGAAAAAATGACTTAACAGATTTACTATTGTGGACTCCTATAATGGTGTGGCATACTTGGATTACTAATATGAGGTTATATGCCACTCTTTTATATAAGTGTTTATTTTAACTTTTAATTTCTTAATCTTCTTTGCCATTTCTGTCAAAAGAACATGTGATACCTGCCACAATGGAGTGTTTATGGAATAAATTATTATTAACTATTACATGAGCAGATATGATAATCACATATATACAATAATAAGTATGATTGATGATGATGGTGATGATGATGATGATGATGATGATGATGATGGAAATATTAATACTAACAAAACATTCATTGAATGCTTAGTAGGTGCCTGGCAAAGTCCTAAGTACTGTTCTAAATAAGGTAAATATTAACTTATTTAATGCTTTTAAGAACCCTAGTGGTTAGGATAAATTTTTTATCCCTATAGAATAGCATCTCCTAAAATTTTTATCCCTGACTTTTTTTTTTAAATATATTTTATTGATTTTTTACAGAGAGGAAGGGAGAGGGATAGAGAGTTAGAAATATTGATCAGCTGCCTCTTGCACACTCCCCACTGGGGATGTGCCTGCAACCAAGGTACATGCCCTTGACCGGAATTGAACCCTGGACCCTTCAGTCTGCAGTCCAACGCTCTATCCACTGAGCCAAACTGGTCAGGCAATATCCCTGACTTTCTTACCAATACTCCTTTACTTTTTTGCTATTAATTTGTGTAGTCAAGATTTTCTTTCTTTTTGTCTTTATAAACCATGCAAACTTGTTTTTAAAGTCAGCTTGACTTCTCATTTTGAGGGATTCTATCCAAATGTTGTATTAGCCTGGATTCTCCAGATAAACAGAATCCAATAGAGCCAATGGAAAGAGAGGCTCATGGGGGCTCACAAGCCTGAAATTGGGGGGAGACTGGCAGGCTGTGGATTCAGGCAGGGGCGGAAACTGTAGTCTTGTATCTGAATTCTCCAGGGCAGCAGGATGGAAACTCAGGGAAGAGTCAGTGCTACATTCTTGAGTCCAAAACCCACAGGGCAGGTCATCAGGTAGAGAACTCAGGCCAGATTCCCTGTGTTACAACCTTGAGACCGAATGCCTTCTTTACCTGATGAAAATGCTAGTCTTTACTCTTAAAGCTTTCCACTAATTGGTGAGCCTCCCTCCCCCCTCTCCACACATTATAAAGAACAATCTGCTTTACTCAAAGCCTAGTTATTAAAATGTTAATCACATCTAAAAATTACCCTCATGGCAACACCTTGATTGTTGTTTGAACAAGTAATGGCACCATAGCCTAGCCAAGCTGACACCAAAAATCAAATGTCACAAATTATTATGTTTAAATCCATCAGACCTCTGTATGTTTAGTCTGATTTCTGAGTCAGAAAATGCATATTTAATTCCTTTTTTGTGCTAGACATTGATAATGCACTTTTATACCGAATAATGTCCCTTCTATTCGGGCAGCTCCTTGAGCTTGGATCTCTTGAAACCACCAACTGCACATTTATAGGTAGCACCTAATAGTTCTTCGGAAATCATATCTAGGTTTACAAAAATCTTATGGAACTTAAAGGGTAGCCAAGCACTTCACTAGCTAGTCTATACATGCGGATACAAGTGAGACCTAGAAAGTTCAAAGACTTGTGCGAGGTAACGCAGCTTCCCAGTGAGCACAGGAGGAAGGCCAGCAGTCCTCCAGCTCCCACAGCCCGAGCTTTTCCAGGACCCACCACTTCCCTCCTTCCATTGGGTAAGAGTATGAAGATTCTTGTTAAAATTCTAACATTGGAGGCCTGGAAAATTCCACATTTTACCTTCCAGGATTTTTTTAGAGACTGGAAGAGAGAGGATTATTTTATATTTACAGCATGTGTCTAGCCAGATGAATAGTTACATTTTGTAGATGATACTGTTTTCAGATGATAGAGAAGTAAAGTACACATACCATTTATATAAATGCTGGCATTTCTATGCAAATAAACAAGGCAGTCCAAATAAAGTGCCTCTGTGTGCAGAGCTCATGAACTGTTCTTGGGGATTCTAATTTGGAAAATGAACCTAAGAGCTCTGGCTTCTCCTAAACCTATTCATCTCCTAAGCTGGTTTCAGCAAAACAGCAAATAAGTGGTGAGATGTTGAAATAAATAACATGTGATACTAATGCATGGAAAAGCACAGGCTCTATGCGTCAGTCTACATTGGATATGTGGGGGAAAGGCTGTAACGCACAATGGTACTTTGGCTCACTTTGTGAACTTGACAGGATGGACAAAGATTTGGGGGATGTGGTTGTTTTAATTTTAAAACTTGTTCTGGCTTTAGTGATTTCCCAGAATATTAAACAGAAAATAACTTGTTCAATTGTAGATAACAAAAAGCCAAACTTTATTCCATATGAGGGAAAAGTGCTTAGACTATTGTGTATTTAGCCAACGTTACTGTGACCAAGACTAAGTGGAATGCCTTGTGATCTCGGGATAAGTAGGGGAGAGCATGGAGAAGGAGTGCGGGGTTCTGAAGAGCCGATGAGTTCCAGTAAGAGTCTGAAACTCCAGAGAGAACAGTGAGGAGGTTAGAAGATATGCTCAGAAAGACATAATTTGGCTTGGGAGTTCTTTATTAAAACAGGTCAGCATTAAAATATATATCAAGAAATGTAATATAATTTTTTTATTAGCAAGTTGAACTGTCAATTGTATGTGTTGTTCACTGATTTTACCTACGAACACTCCCCTCCTTAGAACACATAATTCCTGACTCCCTGAGTCCTGGCTCTCATTTTCCACACTCATTTTACTATGCAGAACTTACATTACTTATCAACATCACTGCTGGCCCTTGAACAATTTTGTCTCACTTCACCTGGTTTTATTTTGTGTTGCAGTCCTGATTTCTAGCATATTATGAAGAAACCATAATGGAACCACACACCCTTACTTGGATAATATTCAGAAACTAGCACTGAAGCAATAGGTGAACGATCTCCATTTGTGAAGTCACCATTTAGGGAACTGAACTTGTGCATTTTTACTGTTGTGAATCATGCCAAGGAAGGAGTCTTTCGCCCAGAGATTGTGTTGGCTTCAGAAACACCTGTTCTGTTTCTTCATCTGCCGTTTCCATCTGTGTGTAATGTGGCATAATGTGCTGAGATCCACCACAGAGAGGGAAGTGTTCTTCTGTGCAGTCACCTTGTCTACCTCAAATAAAAACACAAGGATCCCACATTTAGTTCCAAGAGTGTGTGTGTGTGTGTGTGTGTGTGTGTGTACGTGTGTGTACTTGTGCATGTGAATATGTGTTTTTATGTGAAAGGTAAGCTGATTCAGGCTGAAGAGGAAAAATATCACTTTGTGAGACAGACTGTCCTCACAGGAATCGGTCACAAGTGGAAGTATTATTTCCTGTTATAGAACTGAAGGGGGTAGCTTAGTTGAGGGAGGTATTCTCTCATATGGAGTGTGGAGATTTCATGACAGAGTTTTGTGTTTTTTTTTCATTTGTGCCACTGAGATATGTATATCCTGAGCTCATTAAGTTTACAGCTATTTTGAGCTTTCTCAAGTCAATGATCCTACTGAATAAGTATAGACTTTCCTAACAGGCATCTTGATGGCTCCTGTCATGGGTTGAATTATGTCCACCAAAAGGATACATCCAAGCTCTAACCACTGGTACCAGTGACTGTGACTTTATTTGGAAATGGGGTCTTTGTAGATGTAATTAAGCTAAGTAGCTCCAGGTGATATCATACTGAATATAGGCTTGCCCTTAAATCCAAGTACTAGTTCTTTTTAAAAAAATGTTTTAATGGATTTCAGAGAGGGAGGGAGAGGGAGAGAGAGATAGAAACATCAATGATGAGAGAGAATCATTTATTGGCTGTCTTCTGCACATCTCCTACTGGGGATCGAGCCCGCAACTCAGGCATGTGCCCTGACTGGAAATCAAACTGTGACCTCCTGGTTCATAGGTCGATGCTGAACCACTGAGCCACACTGGCCAGGCCAATGACTAGTGTTCTTATAAGTGAAGGCAGATAGAGAGATTTAACACACACACACACACACACACACAGCTGTGTCAAGGATTGCCAGAAGCTGGGGAGAGGCAGAGTGCATTCTTCCCTAGAGCCTCATGAGAACAATGGCCTTTTCAGACCCCCTGCCCCTAGAACTGTGAGACAATACATTTCTGTTGTTTTAAGGTACCAAGTTTGTGGGAATTCGTTGCTGCAGCAATAGGCTCATTGAAGTGAGCTTAGGAAATCATCCACTAAGAACTTCAGGAAGTTCTCAGGTGATAACTTCATACTTGGCTGAAGTCTCACGATGAAGGAAGAAAGAAGTCCATGATATCTGGTCATTAATATGACCACTTTTTAGTCCACACGAATTAGTCCACATGGGTCGGGCCTGTTCTGTAACCATTTCGGAAGGATGCTACAGCTGTTTCCAGTCTAAGGCAGTTGAAGTATCAGGGCACCTCAGGGCATGATGAGATTATGAGGAACAAAACTAAAAGAACAGTGGTAGGTAACAGGAGACATACACTCTTGGAGTCAATTGAGAGAAAAACATTTCAAGGGGCATGTAAATAATACAATACTATTTTTATTATTATCATAGGGCAATTCAGTTGCATAGGTATATAAAGTTACTTTAGAAATATTTGTGCTTTTTATATCTCATTGGCATTGGAAAGCTTATAAGAAAGACATTATAAAATGACTTAGGTCTGATAATTTTCCAGTAAGGAATGAAAACTA